AGGGGAGAGGCCTTGGACAAGAATCTACCCTTCCAGGTCACATTCCCAGTGACCTGCCCCTTCCCACCTCCTCACAGCATATTCAGCTATGAATTTTCCAACGGATTAATTCACTGATGGCAGCTTCGATGCATTTGAAACTTTCATTATAAAACGTTGGTGGGGAGTTAATACCACATTTCTGGCAAAACCAAATACTTCCTTATTGTACCAACTCTTTCTGAAAAAAAAAACTATAAGCTCTGGAGAAAACTTTCTTTAAATTTAGTATAGTACCCCCATGATCCAATCACTTTTCAGAAGCCCCGTCCATGAACAGATGAGACTGGGGGGACATTTTAGATCTAAACCGTAACAATGGCCTCTTCCTGTGGTCTCTAATTCTTGTTCTAGGGAGTGATACCCTGACTACCACTTCAGCAGAACAAAGTGGCTTTTTAAAAAGTACAGCAGTGGGGAGAATAGAGTGACTACAGGAGGCAGCTTTGGAGGAGAATAGGAAATATTCCTACTAGCTTGTGGTGTTGGTTGCATGTTATAAAACTCCTTGAATTATACACCAAATTGGTAGTTTTTATTGTATGTAAATTATAGCTCACCAAAAGCTGGGTTTTAAAAATCTCAAGATACATAAATTTCAAATGTGTATATTTAGTGTACTTATAAATTTTATATCATAAAAGACTAAACAATTGTTGAGCTCTAGTTGATGATATACATGCTGAGTATTTAGGGTCAAGTATATTGATATGTATGGTTTATTTTTAAATGCCTAAAATGTAAGGTGCATAAGTAGATGGCTAGATACCTGATAAAGTATAGAACAATTGAATTGTACATCTAGGTAGTGAATTTACAATTTGCCACAGTAAAATTCTTGCAACTTTGATGTGTTTGAAAATTTCAGTATAGCTGGGCATGGCGGCACACACCTGTAATCCCAGCATTCAAAAGGCGGAGGCAGGAGCCAATGCCAGCCTGGGCTACATTGTAATTTCAAAGGCAGCCTGAACTACCTAGCATGACCCTGATTCAGGAAAACAAAAACAAAATGAAATTATTATAAAACGTTAGGGGGTGGGCTAAGTTAATTTCTGATTTCTGCAAAACCAAATAGCTTCTGTTGGACCAATTCCTTCTCAAATGGGATCTATAAACTCTGGGGAAAACTTTCTCTAAAAATTAACTACATAAAGAAAGTGACCAAAAGCAGGCAGAAACCGGGATGAGTCAGCTTCTGGAAGAAAAGCACCATACTGGGTGAGCCTCCTGTTTTCTACTGCTGTTAGCCTGAGGTAAAGTCTTTTTAGTCTGCACCATGCAGAATAGCAGACCTCCACTGGAAAATCTACAGTTTCACCAGCCTGAAGAACCAGAATGGAGAGTTCAGAGAAACCACAGCCTCATGGGAGTGAAGGGGAAATGACAGAAAAGAGAGAGACAGAGGGAGAATTCCCAAGTTCTGTATGGAAAATCCATTCCAATTTTTGGTTGGCCATTGAGCTGTGTCTTCACAGGTAAGGCTAAAAACTGAACTAAATGTTAAAGAACACTAAAAGTGCAGTCCCTTAGTTATACTAGCACACTTCAAGTGCTCAGATACCGCTACCATATTACACAGGATCCTACTGAATAGTACAAATGTAGAATAGTTCCACTGAATGAGTTTGTTTTGATCATCCAGTTAAAATGGGGAGATTGGGGGGCTGGGGATTTAGCTCAGCGGCACAGTGCCTGCCTGGCAAGCATGAGGTTATGAGTTTGATTCCCGGTACCCGGGGGGGAGGGGGGGGGGAAATGTGGAGATTGTCAGAAGTGACTTACCCTCCCCAAGAGGAACCAACTGTACCAGTTCATCATACACCCACACACAAACACACACACAAAGATTCCACCTTAAATACATAAAGATATGTTAAAATAAATGAATTGGAAAAGATATGCAAATGTCAAGAAAAAGAATGCCATGGAAACCACTGTAGTGGCACATGCCTACAGTCTCAGGTATTGGTATATGCTGCCATGCCCAGCCGTTCATACTTTATTTAAAGGAAAAAAAACCTCAGAAAACTAAAACTAAAAATTAAAGGATAACAAACCTGATAAAGAGTTTCTATGAAAAACCCACAGCTAGAAGCATACGTAGTGATAAACTGGTCAACACACACACGTGTGCACACACACACACACACACACACACACACACTTAAAGCAAGGATATCTGCTTCCACTTCTTTATTCAATAACGTACTCAAGTCCTAGACATTGCAATAAGACAAGAAAAAAAAAAGATTGAGAGGGAAGAAGCACTATGTTTCCCATGCCAAGATTATTTATATAGAACTTAAATGACAACAAAAGAACTACAACTGGGTAAATTTACCAAGGTTTCAGGATTCAAATTAATTTGCAAAACTCATTTGTATCTTTTTACACTACAGCAAATAAAAATAAAATTTTGAATTTCAACTTACAATGAGATCAAAGTAGCAATACTTTAGAATGGATTTACAAAAGATATGCAAGATCTTTGTACAAAAACTTGCTTGTGAGATACTTAAATATGTGAAGAGAAATTTCACTCATGAATTGCCAAGATGTCAGTATTGCCCAAAATAGATGTAACACAGTCCTAATCAAGACCACACAAGCAGCCCTCTGATGAAATTAACAAGCTAATTGTATACTTTTTATGGAAACAAAGATTTTATATCCAAAAAAATATTGAAAAAGAAGAGCAAAGTTGGAAGACTGTACTGACTTCAAGACCTACTATGAAACTACTAGAAATCAAATAGTGTGGTATTAGCATAAGAGTGGAGAAATAACAAATTATAGATTCCTGAAATAAATCCATTCCTATTTATCTTTTCAACAAATAGCACTTGAATAACTGGATATCCATGTGGATAAAATGAACCTCAACTCTAATCTCACACCATACAGAAACGAACTTTAAAATAGGCGAAAGACACAAACATGAAACCCGGAGGAAGAGGACAGAAAACCTATGCAACCTTGATTAGAGAGGTAATGATTTCTTAGTATACAAAGTCCACCAAACATAGAAGATTAATACACCGGGCTTCATCAAAATTAAAAACTTCTGTCAGGAAATAGATTTAAGAAAATAGTGAAGTCAGAGGTAGAAAATAGTTGTAAGATATCTGTCTGAGGTAGAGTATCCTAGATATATATAGAATCCCTAAAAATGAGAGACCACTAGCTCTTTAAATGAGTACAATAGTTCAACAGAGAAATATTACAAAGAAAGGTATACAAACAGCCAACAAACACATCAGGGAAATGCAAATTAAAACCCCAATGAGATAATGCTATATATCCACCAGAATATATTGCATTTAGAATTAAAATGACTGATACAGAGGATCACAGCATCTGGAACTATTATACATTATTGGTTAGTACAGATATTCAGAAAATATGTCAGACAGTTTCTTAAAAATCTAAGTACATACCTACCCTATGAGCCAGCAATTCCACTTGTAGGTATTTACCCAAGAGATAAGAAGCACATCCACAGTATTTGATTTCTTGTAGTTTCATAGTAGGTCTGTGTAAGAATGTTCCTAACCATTTTATTTATGATGACCAAAATTTCTAACACTCTTAGCTTCTATCCATGGGTGAATAAAACTATGGTATATCCAAGCAATGAAAAATTAGCAATAAAAGCAAAGTACTAAGACACATGGAAAAACTTCAAAAACAATCCTTTACACAGGAGATTTCATGATTGTCATTATTTTGGAGACTTGAAACAGTTCTGTAAAGGCAAAAAAAATTGAGAGGAAAAACTAAAAGCAGTATTTTCTTCTAGGGGTATGTAGACAGGGGTTTACTGGAAAGATACTTGCAGGAATTCTGATCTGTTGACATTTGGTTGATAGATTGGCTAAATTAGTGTTTTGCTTCCAAGATGTACACATTTATGAGAACTGATCTAATGGTAGATATACTTAAAAAGTGCGCATTTCACTGTATGCAATAATATAATAATTTTATTGCAAAAGAGAAAATCCAAAAATAGTGAACTTTAGATAATGCCAGAAGTACTGGGGATGGGAGGGAAAGTGTCAAGTGTCTACAAATTTTTTTTTCCCCTAAATTGCAAGTTGGAGCCAGGGCTTCCAGCATGCTTGACAAGAACTCTACCATTGAGCTACAACTTTTAAAATTCTATTTTGAGACAATCCCTTGCTAAATCGCCCAGGCCACCTTCAAGCTGGTAATCCTTACGTTTTGGTGACACACACTTACAATCCAGCACTCTGGGAGGCTGAGGCAGGATAATAGCAAGTTCAAACCTAGCATGGGCATTTTAACTCTTAGTGTGACTGTCTCAAAATAAAAAAAAAAATTAAAAATATAGCAGAGAGCTAGGGACGTTGCTCGGTGTACGGGCTTTAGGTTCAACCCCCAATGGGGAAGGAGATGCAATCCTACTGTCTCAACTTCCGGAGTAGCCCCGACAGGTGTGTCTACACCTTGTTGAAATGTATCCTAAATGAATATTTTGATGGATGATAAGAGGGACAGATAGATATTAAGTACAGAATAGTGTGATGTTAATTGTAGAATCCAGATGGTGGGTATGCGGGGATCGCTGTAAAATTTGTCTCACTTTTTGGTATGTTTGAAATTTTCATAATAAAATGTGACAAAATAATTACAGCACTGACCCTGGGTATGTAGACATTCCCCTATACTCACTATTACCCAAAAGCTCCCTCCAATAAGCTATGTAAAAGAGGGACGTCTGAGAGCCTGAGAGGACTACCCGCAGTATCTGGCCTTTTGATGAAAAACGCCAGAGCTATGTTTCATCAAAATCACTTGATTTACTAAGCCAGACTGATGAGTGTCGTGGGTAGGTGGGTCTCCTGGGACTACTCTCTCCGGATGCCGGGAAATTGCACTTAGCTCCCACATGCCCACGTATCCATTCCTCTGCGCATCCGTTTTTCTTTCTCTCATACCCGGAGCGGGTGGTCCGGAGGAGTCCTGCAGGGCTGGGTACACGGTGGGGGCGAGATGTCCCGAAGGGGACAGAGCGCCCTCTCCCGGCGCCGCAGGGACCCACGCAGGCCAGTTAAGCTTCCGACCCGCCTCCTCAGCACCCACCCCCGGGATACGCGCACCCGGGTGGGAGCACCGCCGCCCGGAGGTCGGACTGCCGGGCGCTGGGGGTCTGCTGGGCACCGACGGCGGAGGCGGCCGGGCGCTCGAGAAGCGGGGACGGGGTGGAGCCGCTCCGGCTGGCAGCCGCGCGGTTCCACCTGTTGCAGCGTCGGAGCGCGCCGACCTCCACTCCCCGCCCCACTAGGCAGGGCCCGGCCGGGCCACGCGAGGAGAGAGCGAGGGCTAGTCCTGCCAGAGAGCGGAGGGCTGCTCCCCGCGAGGTGAGACTTGGGCACAGCCGCGGCGTCGGCGCCGGCGCCCACGGAAGGTGGGTCTCTGGGAAGGCGCCCCGGGTTTACTGCGGGTGGTCTGCGCCGGGTAGGGGCGCGCTGTGTGCAGCCCCTGCGGCGCAAAAACAACACTAAGGAGCCGCAGGCAGCCAAGCTCAGTGGAAGCGATGGCGCCCTCAGGGGTCGCGGTCGCCAGGCCGCTGTCCTTGGGTGCTCTCGGGAGCCGGGCTGGCAGAGCCGACCCGTGGGGGCAGGGGACGCTCCCGCGCAGGACTCCGAGGCCAGGGGCGCGCTGGCCCGGGCAAGGGGAGGGAGGGTGTCCGGGGAGCTGCCCCTAACTTCCTTCGCTCCCCCGTCCCACCCTTCCTTTCTGGTCTCTCCCCAGCGCGTCTGCCTGCTGGATGCGCACAGCGTGGGCGCCGGGCAGCAGGTTCGAGCCTGCAACGCAGCTCCGCGCGGTCCCTCGGTCGGTGCGCCGGCTCCGGACCGGCTGCTGCTTCTAAGCCCGGGCAGCCCGAGGATCGGGGCGACGCCGCCTCTAGGACGCACCACCGCGGATCCATCTGCGGAGGCAACTCGATAGCCAGCAGACGCCCCCGCGTCCTAGCCATTGCGGTTTAAGAAGCGATGGTCAAAGAGACCCAGGCCACTGGGCTCGGCTCACCCGCCGACTTCTGGGGACCCCTCACCCTCTCCCTTCGCTGCCTGGGAAGTTAAATCGGCCGGAGTTTGCAGAGAAGATGCGCCACGCCCCCTCCCCAATCTGAGCCGGGGTGGAAACCCAGCGCACGCACCCTCTCGCCCAGCAGAAGCGACTCTGCGCCCGGACGCGCTCACATCTTCGCGCTAAGGAGAACTCCAGGGCGGGAGGGGGGATTGGTGGTGGCGGCGGCGACAAAGCGGATACGAAACCAGGAGTCTAGGCGGACGTGGGGAGCTGGGGCCGCGAGAGGGGTGGAGGCGGCAGCCCAGGGATCCTCGCGGCCTCGGGGAGCGTGCGGTGGTCATGGGCGAGCCGGCCGCAGGGCGCCCGGGAGCCGGCTGAGCACCCTCCCCGGGGTGTGGGCGCGAGTCCACCGGCGCCCACCGGCGTCCCGCGGGGATCTGGCCCCTGGGCCGGGCCATGGCCGGCCGAGGTTGCAGCTGCACCCCGGGCCACCTGAACGAGGACAACGCGCGCTTCCTGCTGCTCGCCGCGCTCATCCTGCTCTACCTCCTGGGCGGCGCCGCGGTCTTCTCGGCGCTGGAGCTGGCGCACGAGCGCCAGGCCAAGCAGCGCTGGGAGGAGCGCCTGGCCAACTTCAGCCGCAGCCACAACCTGAGCCGAGAAGAGCTGCGCGGCTTCCTGCGCCACTATGAGGAAGCCACCAGGGCCGGCATCCGCATGGACAACGTCCGCCCGCGCTGGGACTTCACCGGCGCCTTCTACTTCGTGGGCACTGTCGTGTCCACCATAGGTAAGTGAACCGGCGGCCTCCACGTTCCCTGCTGGACAGGTGCTAGCCTCTCAGCCTCCCGTTCACCTACGGCCCGCCCCGGCAAGTGAGCTGGCTGCTGTCGGATCAACAGGTGTTCGTGCCTTCCTGCTACTCTAACTGGACCGCGGGCTGCAGCACCTGTGAGCTCCTTAGGCAGTGTAAGGAGACCCCTGCTCGGACCGCCTGAGTCACATGCTCCTTTTCCCTGCTCCCAGGAGATCTGAACGATCCTTAAATTGGGGAAGCTGTGCTCTAGAGATTTTCGCTCTAGTTATAGAGACAGGGCTGAGTTCATGAACTCTGGGGGGAAAGCTAACAATAAGAGGAACCTATGGACGTTCATTAAGGACAGTCACTGGTGGGAGGGAAAACCTCAATTTAAGAAAATTCTATCCCTGACTTCATACTTACAGAGAAAATCAGATAGAATTCCAGATGGAAAGTGAGGAGGCAAAAGTGTGAATGAGGCTGTGAAGGGTGGGAAAATGTTTGCTGCTCAGAAGAACCAGGGAAGAAGAAGTGACCTTTGGGCTGAACAAACTAGTATTTACTGTGACTTGCGTTTAGGGCCTAAAGTTGTGTGCATTCTGGGTTAGGAGAGAATTGCTTGTGGGGCCCCATGGCTGGCTGATCTCCTTAGAGCAGCAGAAGGAAGTAAAGCTAGGAGTGTCTGATGGCTAAAAGGAGTGAGGGGGCCCTTACTGCCAGACTAAGGGATCAGAACTTACCAAGAGGCAGTGGGAACCACTGAATTTGGAGCAAACACATAGCCCCAGTACCTTCAGTTATGCCTCTATTCTCCAGAAAGGAAACGATGGTGTGTGTGTGTGTGTGTGTGTGTGTGTTTGCACTACATCCCTGAAGACTGTTCACCCTTGAAGCATAATCTAGTGGCTAGAGGATGGGGACATGCACTAGAAATGCTAGGAAGGATAGAGTGTGGGTGGCAATAGGATGGGAGTTTATACAGAGAGAAAGGAAGTGGCTTGCAGCTGCTCACCTCGTGGCAGGAGGGGCCACGTGGGTAGCTGGGGCCCCCTGTGCTCTTGAGAAGGGCTTGGCAATGAGGCAGTGACAAGGAGAACTGAGGCTCCCACACATCCCCATGTTATGTACACGATCTGTGGATCTGACAGGGAGGGCCCAGCAGGTAGGAAGAGCCATCCCCAGGCCCGATTCCTCACAGAACACCTCCCAGGGTTACCTCAGGAAGCCCAGGCTTCAGCTGGCCAGGGGGAGGGGAAGCAGGGAGAACTGGTATGACTGGGGACAGGTGGGCTTTACCTGAAGTACTTCGTACTGAATGACCCACTCACAGCCGGCATCCCAGCCTGGTGTGCATGCCCAGCAGTGGGCCATGATGATACCACACAGTAACTGGGCATCTGGAAAGAGAATCTCAGAGGAGCCTCAGTGACGTGAGAAGCCCCAGGCCCCGCAGGGAATAAAAGAGGAATGTCTGCCCATGGTTCCCACCTCCAGCTCGGTATCTGCTGGACTCTCTAAGGAGTATTTCACAAATCCCTCATCGTGTCACCTCCGACGTCTCAGCAGACAGCTCTAGAATGTCTCCGAGGGGAGTCTTGGGTGGACAGCCTGATTAGGAGGTGTTGCTTTGTGTTTTGTTTAGCAAGTACAGGATTTTTTTTGCTAAATTATATTTGAACTAGTCTTGATGGAAGACTGAGGGGACTGGATCCTCCCCATCACAAACCCCTTCTTGGTGCTCCTATGGATGTGGAGTTAGGAAGCAGCAAGGTCTGTGTATGGACCGGTGACCTTCGAGGCACTGGAAATTCAGAAGGGCAAGGGCTGGTGGTATGTAGGAACACAGGCTTTTGAGCCACAAATACAATAATGTAGCAAGTGAAGTAGAACAAGACCTGGCCGCAGAGTCCAGAATAGGAACACTGGGTCCTACTGCAGTAACTTGGCCAAGTTTCTTAACCCTTTTGAGGCCTTTTCTTCAGGAGTGAAATCACGCACATTGTAGTTGTTGGTTAATCACTAGTCCTGCCCCTCCACGCCTTCTCTTAAGCCTGCCCTCCATCCAGGGTTCTTTCGAGGGACAATGAGGTTGTGTAAGGGAATGCAAGTTAAAAAGAATACAGCATTGTATATGTGGGCTTATTTTTACTTCCTCATTCTTAGCATTTCCTTCTTGCATTATTTCACTCCTTGCTATTGTCACAGCACTTACTGTTCTTCATTAGTTATTTCAGCAGCCATTTGTACCCCCGTGTTCTTAGCAGCATTATTCACAATAGCTGAAAGGTAGAGACATCACAAGATAACAGCCCTGCAGACTCCAGCTGCTCAGCCTTGGTGTTGCCGGCAAGGTCAAGCCCCCTGTGCTTTCCAACACAGACAAGTGCCCAGGCTGGTATGGAAATGAGCTTGTGCATCAGCCACTAGCTTCCTTGCCAGCCGGAAGTCAAGTATACCAAGGGGCAAGTTAATGAGGCATGATCCCAATGTGGCGATATGCTGGGATTGGGCAGACAAGATGATCCCAGCTTATGCACCTCTGAGAAGCTCACACACAGTATGTGAGTCCTGCCTTGCAGTTACCTCTCAAAGTATATGAGCAGATTTTCAACAAGAGTTTTTATTCATTTTAACTGAACAAAAACAGTTCCACTGGTGCCCATTTGGCCCTGGGTGTGGTTCATGATTAGCAGTTGGGTAGCACTGCCCTGTGAGGTTCTTAGGGGTTCAGGGCTGAGCTGGCAGGTATGTTTTGTAGCCTGCTCTTTGTGTCATCTAAGTGGCACCGAACTGGATATTTTGGGGGGAATCTATTTTCCCCACATGGAAACAAGGCTAAGGCAAGAGCTTTTGAAATCAAATTATAGGAGGCCCACACAAGAAAAAAAAAACTGGGAATCACTGTTTTACTGCATCAAGTTATAAACTAACAGCCAGGATGATTGGCCATTCAGAAAAAAATAAAAACATCCCATCGGTGGTAAGGGGTGTTTCACAGGTGTCAAGATTTGAATCACACACCAACTGGCAGTTTACATTTTGCAAAGTATTTTGTGCAAACCTTATGAGGTAGGCATTTAAGTCCTTAATGTCGTCTTACAAATATGGAAACTGAGACATAGAGGACGTAAATGTCTTGCATAACACCACAGCTCTAAAGTGGCAGACTCAGGATTAGAAGCGAATTTTGTTTACTGTTTGATGATAAAATAGATACATATTCATTAAGAACACTAGTTGGTGTCTTAGTTCTCTTTCTAGTGCTAGTGAAACAATAGCGCAGGCTGGAAAAACTATAAAGAAAAGGGGTTTATTTTGGCTCACATTTCTGGTTCAAGGTCAAGGTCTGCATCTGGTAATGGCCTCTTCCTGGCAGAATCCTCCTGGGTACAGAGTGTCTTGTCATGAGAGACAAGCAAATGTATCTGTGTCCCCTGGTCTCTTTCATAAAGCCACCAGAATTCAGTCACAGTTCCCCACCCTCATGATCTTTTCTAATTCTGATCTCCTCCCAACTGCCCCTGTAGTCAGCTATTCAGATCAAGTTTATGCCCTCCGCATACCTCACAAACTCTAACCTGAGTTTTGTAGGAGATGAAACCATAGCAGATGGGACAAGTGTAAAAAAAAGTAGAAAATCACCCATAATTGTACCATCCAACAAAAATCACTGTTAATATTCTGGTGTATCATACTGTATTATTAAACCTAAAGTGCTGTTTTATCATGCCATTAGGAAAGAAAAACTGCCAGTTAAATCCTGACATGCCAGCAGTATGAGATGCATCTCAATTTGGGAAATATGAAAACATTGGGAAAAGATGCATCCTAAAAATCATTACAATATTTTTTGTATCTTACTGCTTTCCATACTACCATTAACAGGTGGACATAGTGTTGTAATTAAGTAAAAATGAATCATAATTAAAATTTCTTTATACCAAAGTTGACTAATTTTTAAATATTTACTAAAGGTACTTTAGATATCTATTTTTTTTAAAAGTTCATCTTCTCTGAATCAAGTAGTTAATTCTTTCCTCATTTTTCTACGGGAAGCAGGGAGGTGGTATGTTAATGTATGTGTGTGCTTTATATTTGAAGGATTTTAGCCCTTCATCCAAAGGCTAAATGTTAGTATCATGCTTTTTGTCCTTTGTTTTCTGTTCAATATCTGTTATTTATCATTCAGAAAGAGAAATACTTCTCATTTACATTTATTTTCACTTTTCAGTCTTTTTCTTGTACTTTCCTCCATTATCTTTGTGTTTAGAAAATCTTTTCCTATCCAGATCCTACAGAATGCAAGCTTTATTCAGTATTTTTCCAGCTGCTGCATTTCCAGTCATAGCAGTAGTTTTGAAAGCACTTTAACGTACTGTTCCATGTGAACAGTGGCAGCTGTATTTTAGAATTCTAGCTGAGAAGCAACACAGAGTCCTGGGAAATAAAGGACAGAGAGAGGAGCTGAGGAGGGTTTGTATTCACTCAAGGTGGGGTAAGAGGGCCACCCTCTTGATAGCCATCTTGCAAAACTTCATAAGCTTGTACTGTCCACTTTGTTTGTCTCCTTTTTGTTTTGTTTTTCAGTACCAGGAATCAAACTCAGGACCTTGTACTTGCCAGGCAGGCACTGTGCCATGAGCTACATCCCCAGCCCCTACTGTCCCCTCTGAGAATCCTATGTTGGCTTAATGATGTGATTCCTGTGTAGCTCAGGCTGCCCTTGAGCATACAGTCCTTCTGTGTCAGCCTCCTGAGGGTTGGGATTGCAGGCGTGTACCATCATAATCAGTTCCATGGATGTAACATTCTAATTTTAAAACCACTAGGGTGACCATTTGGGTCTGAGGAGTTCAAGGTTCCCAGCTGGAATCTTGAATCATCTGGGGGCTGTGGGCTTCTCCCCTGGAGAATGAGAAGGACAGGAAGCCCTGAAAGTTCTTGCTCAGTAACAGCACCGTTCATCCAAGTACCTCTTCATGTGGGACCCT